TGTTTCCATCTTTATGAGGTCTCAGAGTTCTGATCACTTAGCTTCTCTCCTCTTGACACCTCATCACATGCTCAGCCACAGCCCTGTGCGTTGAATACCGATTTCACAGTCTTGACTCACACCATTTGGTCGGCATTGCTGGGCCATTGCCTAAACCCAGAAGAAGGCAGATGGCGTTCCTGAGCCTGCGTGGGGGACTGCCAGATAGTGTTGTCCTTTGAAGCAGTCGTAGGTGCTGTCTTCCTAAAATGCAGCGTGTGGCTTCCCTGGGTTCACCATCCTCAGCCCTTCCCAGTCAGGCCCCTCCTCTCACTTACCCTGCCTCTCCCCTCCCCCGGCCTTGGTCTTTCTGCTCAGCTTACCTGTTTCCCTCTGCAAACCACATGCCTCTCATTCTCCTCTCCAGATCTCTGCATCTGCCACCCCCACCCCCCGGGAGAACCCCTTCTCATTGCTGCAGACGCCCGACAGGGCAGCTTTATTCCAGGTCATCTCATCATGGGCCTGCCTGGATTCCCCTGCAATGAGCTAGGCTGGTATCCTCCCACACTCCTCTGTGTGCTATGTCATTTGGGCGTGCACTCCTGTTAGCTGGGATGGTTGCGGAGCCTTCCCTCACCCTTGGCTCCCCACCTGTTACCTTTATACAGGAGATCCCCTGGCTGGCTCACCTCTCTTCAGGATTGGCTCTGCATGTGACCGTGCAGCTGGAGTACTGGCTCTGGAGGCTTCGCGAGAAGCTCGTTTTGTTCCTTTGGGATCTGATGTTTGCCAAACGCTCACACGTGGGCAGGACCAGCTGCCCATGTCACCAGGTTTATCAGTTATCTATCACTGTGTAACTTTGAGGCTTAAAACAACAGTGATTTCATTATCATCTCTGGGTCTGTAGTCTCAGTTGGAGTGGCAGGACTCTCAGATTCCATCTCTGGGGGTCTGAGACTTTAGTGGAAAGAGCCTGCTATGGAGTTAGAGGTCTGCGCTGCCTAGCAGGACGCTGGGCAGTCACCCTTCTCCGTTGCTTGGTGTCTGCGAGGGCTCAGACCACAGCAGGCATGCCCTGCACGTGGCACCAATGCAGGCCCTCCTCCTTCCTCCCTCTGCCCACTGAGAGCCCTTCCATCAAGCCTCTAGCAATCAGGCCCCACAAGCTTCACCTCCCAGCTCTGACTCCAGGGCCTCTCCCGGCTTCCAGGGTCTGAGTATCTGAGGATTTGCCCTGAGGCTTGCTTTTGTCTTGAAGCTAGTGAGTTGGGGAGCCTCAACCCGTTCCTTCTCTTGCGTCCTACAGAAACGAGGGCGAAATGGCCCACACCTGCCGGGGCACCATCAACATGTCCACCGCGCACTTTGACAGGGAGGATTACTGCAGCATCGTGCTGACCAGTGGGGCCAAGACCTACCACCTCAAGGCCGGCTCGGAGGTGGAGCGGCAGCAGTGGATCACCGCCCTGGAGCTGGCCAAGGCCAAGGCTGTCCGCATGAGGAGGAGCCATTCAGGTAGAGCGCTTGGCGCAGTGGGTGTACGTGCAACGTGGTGGGTCTGGAGAGAGTGAGAATCGAAGGCACTTGGGGGATGGGGGTGACCAGGAGACCCAGTCGACTCCAGACCAACCCCGGAAGGTCAGGGTGTGCGTTCGCCCTTCCCGCTTGGCTCCGTGCGCTCTCAGCAGTGAGATGCTTACATCGTTGGGGTGGCTGGCAGTTCTAAGGATGGAAATGTTTGTGGGGGTGGGGCTTGTGCCCTTTCTTTGGAAGAATCTGTTCCTGGACTTGAGGAGACCCTTCAGAGTGCGTGCTGAACCCCTCCCCTAGCGCCCAGCCCCTCCCCATACCCTGCTTTCCCTTAAGTTTGCTTATCCTTCACGGAGAGGCCATTCCGGAAACGCTCCCTGAGCCAGCCCCCTGCCTGGGCCAGATGCTAGTATCTGCAGCCTGGCTCAGCCCCTTGTGCACAGCAGCCTCGAGGTTAGCGCGAGCCAGGCCCTCCCAGAGCCTCAGATTCCCCACCTGTCAGTCCACTGGAGGCTTTGGTTACGGACCTCCTAGCATCCTTCCGATCCAAAGACTTCTAGGTCAGTGGGAGCCGGGGTTGAAACCTCCTGTCGGTGTGACCTCGGGCAAATTGCTCGCTGTCTTTTGCCTCATTTCTCTGTAAATAGGCTTAATAACGGAACCACCTCGTAGAGGATTAACCTAGAAATGCATAAGAAGAACTTAGCACATGGCTTGGCAATTGCTCAAAAAGTTAGCTGTAGTTATTAATAATAGTCACCATGGCAGCTTAAAAATAACGCAGGTTCCCAGCTTCCCTTGCCCTGGTAAATCTGAATGAATGAGAGCAGCATGGGGGGCCACCTGCATTTAAGAAAAAAAGTCCCCCTGGGTGTGATTGCCAGACTTAGCAAATAAAAATACAGGTCACCCCGTTTAATTTGAGCTTCAGATACACAACAAGTAATGTTTCTGTATAAATGCGTCCCATGTAATCGTCAGGACATACTTATACTACAGCTTATTTATAGTGCTTCTCAAATTCAGATGAAGAGGGCGACCTGCATTTCATGTCCCTGCATTGAACTGAATCCTGGGAGCCCTCTGCTCCTGCCTCCAGGCGGGGCCCAAAGTCGAACTTCCCAGTCAGAAAACAGAGTATCCCTTCTACTGCCACCGGGGGGCGCTAGAGGATAGCTCATCTGCTCTCTTTGCTCCTGAATCCTGTCTAAGCACCAGCAGGCGGTCTGGCTTGCCTCTTGGTACTTGGGAAGCGTTTTCAGATCTCCAGGTTAGCTTCCCAGGGCTTGCTGGGGGTTGTAAGAATGGAATACAGAGCCGGCCACCCCTCTGTCTTGTGCCTGACTTCGAGGGGGACTAATCCAGCCCCTGAGAGCTCCTTCTCTCCTGCCCTGCTCCCCAGGCTGGCCTGCCCCCCGCCACTGATGTCATAGCCCTATTCTGATATCACAGCCCAGTGCTTGGAATGACGCCAGGCAGCCAAGATTCTGTCCTTAGGGCAACCAAGGCTCACATCTGTGCGGGGCCGAGGGGAGCTTGGGTGCCTGGCGGCCCTGGGGCAGCCTGCGGTCCTGTCGCTCTAAAATGAAAATCCCCTGAAAGGTAGGACTTGGACGGCTTTCCTCCTGCCCTGTTGGTCGTGGCCCCCTAACGTGGAAATAAACTCCCGGGCGTGTGGCGTTGCTCTGGCTGTGTCAACAACTCCTGGCGAGCCTGCTGCTTTAGATGCGCGCGGCCTAGAGAAATGGTGGTGTCTCCTTGGCCCACTCCACATGCCTCTCTTCCCTTTTGAAGGAATGGCTTCCTGGAATGCAGGGTTTCTTGCTTGTTGGGGGGAGCCGCTCCCTAGTGCTTGGAAAATGCCTGCAAGCACTCAGCCATGGCGGGTTCTTCTGTGGCACCTCCTTCGTCCTTACTGTCTGGGTAGGGACACGAGTACATCATCTCAGGACAAAAGGAAAACCCAGCCACATGCGCAGGTACCTCAGACCCCTCGCAAGGAGCAGCCCCATCTGCTCAGCTTGTCAGAGGTGTAAAGAGGTCTCTTGTGAGCTCATTACGTTAGCAAAATATTGACTGGCACGGATTAAACAACACAATGACTGTTCTCTGACTCTGGCGGGCATGAAGCCCCCTGGGGTGAGCACGTTCAAATTCTTGGGAGCAGATCACCAAGATTCTGATCTGATGGTCAGGAACCCCCATTTTTATTATTTTTTTGCTAATCCTCACCTGAGGATATTTCTTCCATTGCTTTTTCAGAGAGAGTGGAAGGGAGGGAAGGAGGAGGAGAGAGAGAAACTTCGCTGTGAGAGCCACATCAACTGGTGTCTCCCGCACACACCCTGACCCGGGGTGGGGAGGGAACCTGCAACCCAAATACTTGCCTTTGACCAGGAATTGAACCCACAGCCCTCGGGTTCGAGGGTCAACACCGGCCAGGGCAGCAACCTGGATTTTTAATAAGCATTCCATTCAGGCCTCATGACAGCGCCCCCGCCCCGTGGAGCTCATTTGAAGAAACATGGTCTGCTCAGACTCCCTGGGTTGCCTGCCGCAGCTGGCTTGGTTCCCCCATTTTCAAATTCCATGCTTTCCATGGAATAATGGAGTTTGTTTTACTATCACATACTTTTAAAATGCACTGGAGCCAGGGAGACAGAAGGGACGGGGTAGGGTGTTCACCAGGTGCACTTGCATCCAGATCTTGGCCCCTCTCTTCTGGGGGTAGGTGCAGCCATTTTTCTTCCTAAGAAGAGGGATTGTATCTACTGGGAGTGCTGTACTCTCCACTATTGACAGCTATTCATGGTCCTCACCTGAATGGAGAGGGGGAACATGGGTGTGAATTATCGGCCAATGAAACAGAGAGTGGTAAAGGGTGTAGCTGAGCAAAGGGACTGGCTTCTGGTGCCCCAGGCTGGACACTCGATGGTGCCCAGAAGGACAGCCATTGCTCATGGATGGGTCAGCAGCTCAAAGGGGGTGTTCTATTTCAGTGGAAAAGCAGGCATTCTGAAATGTGTTTTGTTTTTTTTTTATTGGGGGGATTGTCCTTCATTAGAGGATTAGTAGGATCAATAGGTCAGAGTCATTTGACAAGAAATAGTGGACAGCCCTAAGTGGTTTGGCTCAGTGGATAGAGCGTCGGCCTGCGGACTGAAGGGTCCCAGGTTCGATTCCAGTCAAGGGCATGTACCTTGGTTGCGGGCACATCCCCAGTAGGGGGTGTGCAGGAGGCAGCTGATCGATGTTTCTACTCTCTATCCCTCTCCCTTCCTCTCTGTAAAAAAATCAATAAAATATATTTAAAAAAGAAAAGAAAAAGTGGACAAAGGTTCAGTCTGCATGTGATACATCCTTACCATTAAGGCAGGTTAAGTATAATTTTCCTGCCAGGGCAATCACCTTGATGACTAATTGCTTCCTTGGTAGCTAAAGGGCATAATAGCACTTTCCTTTCGTAATTATCAGACGCGAAAGGCTTATGCCTTGTTGCCATTTAGGTGTTAACCTGCGTGTGGATCTGCAAGCATGAGCTCCAGGCTCTGATGCAGGGGAGGCTGTCGCTCCCTGTGCCACTTACTCCTGAGGCAGAGGGTCCGGGTCAGGTCAGTGGAGCAGGGACATCCCCCTGGCACCTCCTGCATCTCCCTCAGCCAGTGAGAGCTGTGGTTTGGAGATGCACTTGGGAAGGTCAGGGCGAGGCATGCCGGGCTCTGGAACTGGAAGGCTGGCTCTCCCCCCCTCCCCCCACTGGCAGCTGCTGAGTGTCACTTGCATGGTGGCATGAGGGTGGCGAGTGCCAGGTGCCAAGTAGCCCAGTGGCTTTAGTTAGGGATGTGCCCTTATCCAAGGCCATTTGGTCAGAATGCAAGGAGTGAAAAGGGTGTTCCTGAACATTCCTGCCTTTTCAGGAAAAAAAAAGCTTTGTTTTGTGAAAACACTCACAGAGAAAAAGAAAGGTGCAACCATCCCGAAAAATACACGAACGGGAGAAACTTCTCTAATCAGCTAACCTGAAGCTCACTGCCTGTCATGCTTTCTGAACGCAGAGGCGTTTCGATGTAGGTTTATACTTTCTTTTCAGTGGGGGGTCTGCAGCCTTGGCATCTCAGGACAGTGCTCTAACGACTGAGCATCCTGCTAGGGCCAATGAAACACTTAAACTATTTCGGTTGTGCGCGTTTCCTTGTTATCAGAAGAGGCACTGGGACAGCATTTTTCTGCTCGCCGAGTTTTGTGGGGTTTTGGGGTGTTTTTTTTTTTTGCACTAGGATGAGGATTCCCTAAGGGTAAATTCGTAGAAAAGGGATTACTGAGTCAAGTGCGTGCTTCCCATTTTGATATGTTGCCAAGTTACCCACCACAAAGATTGTTCCAGTATTACTCCCCGTTAGCAGAAATGCATGGCCAGGTTAAGGGAAGGTGCTCCCTGGAAATTCCTCTGCCATAGCTCATGTAAATACGCCACGACTATTCCATTGCTACACAAACGCTTATCACACCGGACACTCAGGGTCTCCCAGACGCTATCACAGCGCAAGGCCATTGATAACCGGTGCAGGAGAAAAAGGCGGCAGTGCCCACGGTGACCGCCCGCAGGGCCTTCAGCTGGCGGGGGGCACGGAGCTAGCTGCCCGGGAGTGATGGCAGCCGACCGGGAGCAGGTGGATAGAAAGCCCAATTAGTGGAGCCCAGCGGGCTGGCTTGCAGATGCCTGCGTCGGGCTGGAGGCGGGGGAAGTGGTGGAGGAAATGGATATTCTGTCTTTTGGAAGTGAGGGGGCGGGAACTGGTGAGAAAAACCATCCTCTGCTATTCACTCAAACTTGATTTTCTATCCCATTAAAAACATTATGGTGACATTAAAGGGAATTTAAAAGAAATGAAGACATGGCCATGATCCCAGCCATTCCCTCCGGGCCCCACTCCTACCGTGAAATTGCGGGACCGGGCATCCTGGGGCTCAGGAAAGCCTTTGGA